ATTTCAAATTAGAGAATAATAAAAAATGGGAATCTAATATTTTTTTTTGTTTTTCACGTTATTTTTCGAATTTATTTAATTTCATTTATAGGCCTAATCAGTATACGTTAGTAAAAAAAATTTAAAATAATAATGACAAAACTATTTTTTATTTTTTGTTTTTTGTTTTTGAAAAAAAAAATTACACAAAAATATTTAATTATTAACCTTTCATATATCTCATGATGTGTATAACATTTTGATTTTTCATGACTTTTTATATATTATGTAACCACAGTACTAACGGTGTATCGAAATGTAGTTATTTTCATATTCATATTTGGAGTCCGATATAATTTCTATAAAAAAGTTGATTATGAGTGGATAATAAGAATCTTTTGGATACTTTTCTCATATTTTCCTTCTATTTTTCCCTACTTCTCCTATTCTTAATAAGAGATGCTTTTAAACATAATCCCCTCCTCAACTTATACGTAAATATGAACATCATATTTTTCATATGCGCATTTTTTATTGTACTATATATGTTCCTATGTCCCTATTGCAAAATAAATTTAAATGACATTTTCTCAATTTGTACAACTTAATTAATGTAAATAATAATTATGAATATAGTTTGTTATTAAAAATTGCAAGGAATATTACAATAAATTAATTAATTAAAGTTAACTATTTATATCATAATTATTAAATTTTAAATGAGTCTCTTTATTATATTTTTATAGATTTATAAGTTTATTTATTTTGTTTGTAAAAAATTTCTATTAAAATATTTTGACTTTTATTTTTTAAAAACAAATTAGGCTAATATTTTCTAAACACATAATAAAATTCTACCAACTACAAAAAATAAAAAGCAATTAAAGAAAAAAAATAAAATACTTGTGGTGAGACACATACGGTCATATTTGCAATAATGCAATACTAATATAAACACTAGCATGCACTACTTTTGGTATGGAGTGTGTTTTGGCATTGGGATTGATCTTCAACCTTTGAAATGCTCTCCCCACGTTTGCATCAATTACATAAACTTCAAGCTCCACATGTTGGAGAAGACGCGGATAATGTGGTGAAGGATCAGTGGAATAATTAGTGTATCTTCTTTCAACAAAAAAAAAAAGGAATAAAGAGTGTAGTTTGAGGTTTTGAGCATAGGGCAGAAGGATAGAATCTAAAGTGAAATATTAGTGTATCGGGGCTCTTTGGATGGACTTGTAAAAAAAAATTATTTCAAAAATTATTTTTATAAAAGGTAAAGTTATTTCTATTTTTAAAAAAATATTTGGCTTTTGACTTCTATATTTTTTAGAAGTCAACATTTTTAACTTTCAAAAAAAGCAAGTTTTTGATTTATTTATTTTTTAACTTCCATTTTTTTTTCTTAAAATAGATATCCAAACGGATTTTATAGTAAAAATATTTTTTCTTCTTAAAAAAACCTTTTATTATGGTGGATAGTAAAATGCTCGTCCAAACGGCCATTAAACTCAATGGATCTGAATCCTTTCATGTGAAAATTCACGTGACTATATCATGTGGAGAATCATAATCATACAAAGGTGGATCAACGATAAAAAATGAGGAGAGAGAAAATATATTAAAATAAATAGTTACGAAATCATAATTGTTAATTTATCTTTGTATAGTTGTGATCTTCTCACATTACCGTATCATGTTTTTTTTGACACAGGATACATTTCCAAAATCAATAGAGATAAATGAGATGGATATATGGTGGATAGTATGATAATGCCGAAGGAAAGGTAGATATTGACATGGCGGTGGTGAATTTGATTATTGAGTAGACTATTCTCACATGCAAGGATGAAGGAGCATTAGAGCATTACCCTAAAACCTTGATGTTTCTATTCCTTTGTCATAACCATATCCATTTGTCTCCCCCTACAACTTTTCCTTTTCAAGCTTTCAATACCCATTACCTCTTTTCTTTTTCTTTCATTTTCTTTTTTTTTCTTTTAAGTGAGACGTAAGTTCACAAAACCCTTGACTTTGTGGTCCTTGATATAATCAAAAGGAACTTAATCCCTATTCGCTCCCTCCCAAAAATCACACTAATTTTTTCCATTAGTAACTTTCGAAAATTAAATAAATTTTACCCTTTACTCAGGATCAAATAAAATGCTTTTTTTTTTTTTTTTGGTTATGAAAAAAATGAGGGTGATTTAAGAGGGGAAGGATATATTTACCTGCAACAAAAGTTTATCATTCTTACAACTAATCTAATCATCATTGATTTCCGTCAATCTTATTAAGAATTATAGGGTCGCATTTATTAATTAATTATTAATTATCAATACATTCAATAAATTATAACCGTTAGATTGACAGAAATCAACGGTGATTAAATTGATTGTAGAGGTGATAAATATTTTTAGTGATAAATATATCCTATTCCATTTAAAAGATATATTATACCTGCCTCGTCTTTTTATTAATTTATTTTTTATCTTGTGAAGAAACATGGCGATGATGAAGTGTCATTCAGAGAAAAAAATGACGATGATCTTTTAAAAAAAGGTCATATCAATGTTCCCCTGTCATAAGCAGTATTGTTTTGTATATTGATTCAAAAGATAATATGTCGCAAGTGATAAAATTAATCGTGTCCATAAATTGATATTGTCATACTTGTGGAAAGAGCCTAACCTCTAAATCATGAAGAATTATTCTCACGCACATAAAATGCAACGATATTTTGGAAACTAAAAAATTGAGATTACCAAAAAGCGAGAAATTTTATATATGTATTCAGCGTTAAGAAAAAAATGCATATAATGTAGTAAATTTTAGGTGTTTGATGCCTGCATTTTCGGATCAATCATGGAGCTTGCAAAGTGGAAAAGTAGAAAGGAATAATTCATTTTTAAAGTTGTAGTAAGCCTAACAGTGCTTGCCCTTGGCATCTGCTGATATGAAAGGTTGATACCATTGACTCTTGTTGAATATCATAGATACCAGAGGAAATGATAGTAATCTTTGTTGTATTAAATTACATAACGTTAGTGCTATTATATAGCAAACCAATTAAAGAATACAAAGAGACACACTCAATGTGGGACTTCTACATTATTAACACTAACACTCTTAACACTCCCCCTCAAGCTGTAGCATATAGATCATATGCTACAAGCTTGATACATAAATAATACTCCCACTAGGAACCAAAAAATACAATGCTACATCAACGAAATGAAATGACTAAGTACAACAAATCAACTGGAATGACCATCAGTCCAAAGAGCTGATAAAGAGACAGTGCTGGAATGGACATCAGAGCATGGATGGTGTCAGAATTATCATCGGCAAAGACAACTGAGCTGACCAGGACATCAGCATCAAGATCCCTCTCAGACATTTCATTTAACAGTTGGTGAGCAGTCGTGGTTTCCCCTTGACTATGCTACAAGCTTATTACAAGAAAGACCAAGTAACATAACATCAAAATAAACCTCCTAAATGAGAAACCAAAAATCAACAATGTGCTAAAAATGGCATCGAAATTAACATCAACATGGAAGATGCCATAATGATCATCGACAAAGACAATTGTGCTAGAATGACCATCAGCAACATGGACGATGCTCCCCCTCAAGAGGAACTTCTAAACAGTGCCAGAATTATCATCGTCAAAGACAATTGTGCTGGAATGACCATCAGCAACATGGACGGTGCTCCCCCTCAAGAGGAACTTCTAAACAGTGCCGGAATTATCATCGGCAAAGACAATTGTGCTGGAATGACCATCAGCAACATGGACAGTGCTCCCCCTCAAGAGGAACTTCTAAACAGTGCCGAAATTATCATCGGCAAAGACGATCTGGAATGACCATCATCAACATGGACAGTGCTCCCCCTCAAGAGAAACTTCTAAACAGTGCCGGAATTATCATCGGCAAAGACAATTGTGCTGGAATGACCATCAGCAACATAGACAGTGCTCCTCCTCAAGATGGATGGTGAATAGTATAAATACTCCATCTTGGAAAGAAAGAAGATTAAAGAAAAAACAAAGCTTCGCAGAATCGAAAAAGTCGCCGGAAAGTCAACGGTGGACGACGCGGTCAACAGTGGTCGGTCAACGACAACGGTGGTCAACCCAACAACTTCCCAAGGATCATTCGTTTCTGATGTGACAGACCAGTCTAAGCTGCAGTCACAGAGCATACTAAGAAAAACCCGAAAAAGAAATAGCAACGGGAATCCCTCAAGGAGGGTGATATCTCTCTATAACCATATTTGAAATTATGGAAAAAAGAATTAAGTTAAACGGATTAAGATTCCTCTTGTTAGGCTCTGATACCATGTTGAATATCATAGATACAAGAGGAAATAATAGTAATCCTTGTTGTATTAAACTACACAACGTTGGTGCTATTATATAGCAAACCAATTGAAGAATACAAAGAGACACACTCAATGTGGAACTTCTACACTATTAACACTAACACTCTTAACAACTCTAATTAAGGTTATGAAAGTGCTATGAGAATAAAGTTTGGTGTTTTTAATTTTGGAAAATATAAGTGTCATGTTACATTACAGAACTTCTTTTTTCTACGTATTTAAAAAAAGTGTGAGATTCACTCTAATTTTTTTTTCTTCTCTTTTTCTGCATAGTGACACCCACAATATTTATGTGTCTATGACATGACATAAGAAGTATCATGCAACATTATATTCATAAAACCCTTTTAACTTTCTGGTTATAATGCACCGTTTTATATTCGAGTGATATTTTTGGTTCAACAATATTTTCCCAGTGTCTTCTAAGTTCTAACTACTTGTGTTTCGGTGCAGTTCTATGTGATTGTATATACATGAGGCTCAATTTTTTGAGTACTCGATACTTGGCCTATACATAATTTTGATGGACTTATATGTTATGAATGTTAAGAAAAAGGAAAAGGAGAATTGAGAACTATATATTGTTCTTTTTGTATCCATAATCATACATTTTAATAATGGAAGTTCTTATGCTACATTGACTTGGACAATATGCTAGGAGTTCCCGGTTTTCTCTTTGGTTTTCTACTTCCAAACAAAGCTATGCGGCGAAAGATCTTCAGTAGCCGGCTAGCATACTTTCTTTGTGAAGCAAAATTTACAGAACTGATGCAACTAGTTGCTTGTCCAATTGGGTTCCTCCTTTTGCTTAGTGATTTAGTTTCTATGTCACATGGCTCCATCTTCTGTGTTTTGATCAATTTTGGTTCTGCTTTTGTTACAATGTTTTCCAATTGAAGGCTTCTTTTCAAGGACATGATTTCTTGTTCAAGATTTTGAATTCTGAAGCTTGTTGACTCATATTCTGTTGTTGAGAACTTGAAATTCTGCATCCCAATGTCTTTCTGCAGCAAGAAGCTCAAGGGCCTGCTACCAAGCTCAGGTCCATCAGTGTAAGGGCTCTCTCCTAGATTCTGACTTGCAGAATAAGGACACCTAGAGCTTGATAGGCTTCCTGATAAGTCTCCACAATGTGCATATCTAAATGAATCTGAACATTCTTTGAAGGCCTTGTGTGTATTGAGTTGTTGAACAAAAAGTGCTTGGACAATTAGACGTAGAGGCATTAGTTCGTTTTGAACAGCTTCAATGCATGCCTCTTGTGATAACCTTTGACAATCAAGATACTTGCACACTTCTCCCTTATCATCTTGGGATATAACCGGATGTGTCTACAGCAAGAAAGAAAAATATGTAAGTAAGGCTAAACTGTATTTGTCTTTGTTAATGATTCTGTTCGGTTTATATACGGTAATGAGCTATGACCAAGCTTGATAAGCCTATAACTAGTATTTACTACTTATTTCTCCTAATTTAAGAATCATGATTATATCATTGGAGTTAATATGTTGATTCCAATTCATTTACAATTTTTCAATTAGACCACTTGGTAAAGTCCTGGAAATTCATTAGAATATTCTTTCTTAGTATACAGAAGGCATCGTTGGCATGAAAGAATGTGTAATGAACTAATGATGTTAACACAATCCAGCATGTTTAAGTTGAGGAATGATGAAACTATTGAATGCTTACCTTGAGAAAGTTGTTGATTGCTCTGTATAGTGGGTAATGATTCTGTCTATAAGATGATGGTACTCTCTCAATGAGTTCCATGAATCTCTTAGGTCCCATATCTGGATCTGCAGCTGCATTGGATAGATATGCATCCCACAATTCCGCAACCCTGTAATTGCTAGCTTCTTGGGTATGGTTTAATGCTACATATGCTGAAATTATGCTTTCCATAGTTGCCAACTCCATGCTAGAGGACATTGACACTGTTCCACTTTCTGGAAGAAGAAAATCCTCCACTTGGGCAAAGTGCAAAAGTGATGTAATCTGGTCTTGTAACTTGGCTTTACTGTTAGTTCTCAACCCAAACTCAAGAGATCTTGAGAGCAAGGCAAAATAAAACCCAACTGGAAGCACTTTCCTAGCCTTATCACCCCTTGGAAGAAGATCAATAACACCTTGTAGAATTACTGAAGCTTTGCCATTCATGTCATCTTCCTCAATCTTCTCCCAGGAGCTCTCCCTAAAATGGAATGTCTTTTTAGATAGCACCCATTTATTTGCATAGAAAACAATGATTGGACTCACATACTTTTCTTTCATTCCTTGTCTTCTCAAAGATCCTATGACCCTTTTGAAAAATTCAAACGGTAGAGCAATCAGATCCTTCATCCACAGGTCTTGACTCACAACATCCTTCATTATCTCACAGCTCCAAGCTTGGGAAGCTAATTCTTCCAATGTAACAACTGGTGTATCTCTCCTTCTTTCAGGGTCAAGGATCTCCATGCATGCCATGAAGGCAAGAGACTCAATGCAGCGACTTACTATTAGCAAATCTTCAGACCAAGGAATCAGCATCTGACACCTTTGAAGTGCAATAAGGGTGTCATCCCAACTTTGCAAGACAACTTGATTCAGATAAAGATCAAACCTTTCACAAAGGTTCCCTGAACAGTAATCTTCAGTCATTTCTAGAAATTCTGCTGCACACCTAAGGGCTGCAACATTAAAAGGGTCAATCAATGTGGAGGATCCATAAATAAACAAGGCAATCATCTCAAAGGTTTCTGGTCCTCCAGGGAAAGTTTCTGGCAATTCAATCTCAGATGTATCATTTAGCCTCTTGTTGAAGTATCCACTCTTTGAAGTCAGAGGAAACTGCAATCAACATAACATGTAAATAAATAAGTTAAACTTTCAAGGGAAAATTATCTTAGTGAAACATTCTTTGATTTTAATTCTTATTCAACTTACTTTGTGGAGGTTAAACATCTTATCTTTAACTCGAACATGGACAGAAACAGGAAAACCAGTATGTTGGCTCCTGTGACAAGAATTCAAAATTAATTAAAACTATGACAAACTTTGATATATAACAAGAAGTAGGATGATCCATAATCTTACCATGTAATAACCTTAATCTTGAGCAAGGCCCCAATGTTAGGTGAAGAGTAAGGACTTGAAGCTAGAGAGCAATCTTTTGGGCTCACAACCTCCATGAACAGAACTTGTAAGTGGTACTATAATTATTCTAACTTTGAGTGTGACTTAATTAACAAACGAAACAAAAGCACAAAGAACCTGCAGGGTTCTAATATTAAGGAAAGAAAACAAAGTGGTGATGAAGGAGTGGAAGTGAGAAAAGAAGTGGAATTTGATGTGTTTGTCCCCAACACATTCTTGCAAGCTTCTACTATTATTCACCTTGGTGTAGTCAAAGTCAACATGCGCACGAGTGAAACTCGAAGTCCAAATTTTAAGGCTTCAAAAACGTTCTCGAATATTGGGAAGTTGAATTCTATGGTTACAACTTGGTGGCCTCGGCCAATAAAATATGGTACCTTTTCATGCATCCTAACATATCAATATCTTGCACTTCAAGTTAGTGTATGTAAGCCCATAAAATCCTACTAATAAAATATATAATTTTAGCATTTGTAACTTGCAATAGCATATTCAACATATCCAACGGCTAGAACCTTCAAGCTCAATTGTCTTTGTCAACGTTGAGGCCTTAATTGATGGTGGATGAGGCATTTGGGGAAATGATGGGACCAAACAGTTTACACAAACAACTTACGCTGGATTTGGTGTAGATTTTCATAAAGAACAATTGGGTGTATTGGGAAAAAAGAATGAGTGTGAAAGAATAAAAAAAATAAGGAAATAATAGGATTAAAATATTGTAAAGGGGGGGAAGATGAAGTGCAAGTGAAGTTTTGTGGTTCATTTTTGTGGCATATGCTAACGCCCAAGACGGCACGGCTACAGAAAATAGGGGTGCTTTGGTTAATGGGTTTTGCTTGCTTTCAACCCTCTATCCCAATATTTACTTTTTCCCACATTTTGAACAGCAAACGATGCGTTATAATTTTGGATATATTTTTTGGTTTATTAAAAAAAAAATTAATGTTTCTCATAATGCGCTAGAAAATAAAATTATCTCTTATATATACATAAAAGTGTGTGGTGCCATGTGAAAAAAAGAAAAAGAAATAAAAAATAAACTCCACACATTATTATGTGTGTAAAATATAAAATTATATCCTACAACATGAGAAGCAATAATTTCTTTTTCTACTGTATTGTTAAATATTTATATGAACAAACTTTTATATGATGTGTATGATAATTTAATTTCATGACTTTTGATATATCATATAATCACTACGTTAATAATGTGTTAAAGTGTAATTAATCTTATATTCCTGTTTAGATTTTTATATAAGAATATTTTATATTTTCCTTTCTCTATATCTCTCCTTTTATTTTATAATATAATATATGGTTTTAATTTTTAGGAACATTATAGAGAATTTTAAATAAAATTTACCGATATTTTGAATAAAGATAAACAATGAGTTAGTTGAGTTCAAAATCTTATTTAAATCTTTAAATTTATAAAAAAAATAAAATAAAGCAAACATCACCATACAAGAAAAAAATAAAGAATTTGATACTTAAAAAACAATGGAAAACTTTACTAATAACTTAAGGTTCGATTTAGGGAAAAAAAATACCCTAAGGTTTTTTTTATAAAAAAAAAGTAGTAATGCTTCTATTGTAGAAAACACTTATACCCTTTCTTTAACATATAAGAATATTCTTATATTCCTGTTTAGAGTTTTATATAAGAATATTCTTTAACATTAATTTAACATGGACACAAATACACTTAACACCTTTAAATTTTTAATAATTTAAAAATATTCATATAATAGCAAAATTGCCAAAAATCACATTGAATTCTTTATTATGATGATATAAATATTGCGAAAATTAAACTAAAGTCAAATTTGAAAAATGTTACCACTCCACCTGTAACCGAATCAAGTGCAAGGCTAAACTTATCATATTCTCATATCAAAAATATGTTTGACATATAATTATTAAAATTTCAAAACGTGAATCATTGTCTGAGATTTAACTTAAAATATGATTGTTATAATTTATTGAATTCCTCAAAAGAAATAAACATAAATTATAATATTTAGGCCTAACTTTAAAATAATTGAGTCATTAATTACCTCGCTGCTGTTAGCTCCAACCTTTAAAACATTTTCATATTTTCATTAAAAGTCTCTACTCCTTAAAAGATAATTGCAGTGACACATAAACACAAACAACTATTGCGAGCTACATATAAACAAGAATCATTTGCCATCATTAATACATCAATCCTTAGTGTGCTCACCTCTCCATCATTCCTTAGTGTGCTCATCATTCCTAATCTCTGTTGCCATGTACCACTTTGGGAAGAATGGACAAATAGCATTTTCATTTGCACATCATATAACATCATAGGAATATAGTTATAAGATTGTGTTCATCACTTTTACGAGTTATCATCCAAAAGCTATCTTCCCACACAAATTAGGAAAATTCAATCTTGTCATAAATAAGATGCTTGGAAAATTTTCTCAAAAGATTTAATAATTCTTATACCAATTATTTAGCATATTTCAATTGTCAGATTAATAACACACATAATGAATTAACATGCCAACCTATTACTGTCATGGGACAATGATTAACAAAAATCATATACAACTAACCTATTATTCTATAGAAATTAGGATTATATCCAACAAAGTTCGTACGTAACCAACCTACGATTCTTTAGGGATTAAGATTACACCAAACAAAATTCATACATAATCATTCACAAAATTCATACATAATCATCCTACGATTCACTAGAGACAAAATTCATACATAACCAACCTACCATTCTTTAGGGATTAAGATCACACACAACAATATTTATACGTAACTAACCTACAATTACCTAAAGATTAAGATTACTAAAGATCATGATTACTGCACATATATATAATGGGGATTATATCCCTCATGTTGTAGGAACCATTTTGTTGTCATGTTAAGAAAAAGACAAGATATAGTATTAAAAGTAATGATGGGACACTTTATTCAATGAATTGGTTTGCCTTTTTCTTAACATGATAAAATTTTGGTTTCCACAATATGGATGCATTTTCCATATATAATACACAACAAATTCATATATAACTAATCTAAGATTACCTATGATTACCTAGATATTAGGATTACACACAACGAATTTATATACAAGTAACCTACAACTACCTAAATATTCGGTAGGGAAAACGTAGTTTGTGGTTGAAGGGAGAAAGTCATTGCAACAAAATTTAAAAGAATTGAGAGAAAAGGAAAATGGAGAGACTAACGGAATAGGAGAGAATAAGTTAATGATTTGATTAGTTATGTTAAGTTTTCTTTTATAGCTAAGGTTTCGTAACGGAAAAAGGGTATTAATTACTGGTAATATTAAAATAATTATTAATAATAATCATGATTAAATTAGTTCATATCATAATAGTTACAAACTGTTATGGAAATAAAATGATATAAATATAGGGGAATGATATATTTACCACCAAAAAAGTTTATAATATTTACAACTTCTAATCTAATCACTGTTGATTTTCGTCAATCTAACGGTTATAATTTATTGGAAATTATTGGATCACATTTATTAATTAATTATTAATTCTCATAAATTATAACTGTTAGATTGACGAAAATCAATAGTGATTAGGTTAGAAGTTGTAAATGTGGTAAAAAAATTTGGTGGTAAGTATATCCACTACTAGAAATATTAATATTTTCAACGGAATTTTTCCGTTGCAAATTATGAAAATTCCGTTGAAAAATTATTTTTCCATAGAATTTTCGATGGAATTCTTCTGTTGAATAACCCTTCGTTGAAAGGCAACGAAATTTTTTTTCCGTTGAAAAAAATTCGACGGAATGTATTTCGTCGGAAGCCTTACTTTTCCGTCAATAAATGAAGTCATGACATAATATTAAAACAATAAATTTCGTCAAAAATTTCAACGAAAAATATGTCCGCCAAAAAATTCTGTCTCAATTTGCAACAGTATTTAACAAAAATTCTGTCAAATTTTTTGACAAAATTAATTTCCGTTGAAAAATTTCATCACAATTTTCCACGGAATTTAACTACAATTTCGTCGATAATTGCAACAGAAAAAGTTTACATAAAAAAAATTCGTTGTAAAATTCAACGGAATTTATCTATAATTCTGTCTATAATTTAAACGAAAAATAATTCTGTCGAAAAGTTCCGTGGCAGTTTGCAACGAAATTTATCTATAATTTCGTTGAAAATTTCTAACATTAATCAATGTAATTATTTCCTATTTATTTTAAACGTTACAGATTAACATAAAATGAATACAAATTATAAGTTAACATTATAATTTATAATTAAATAATGGCGTACAACGATAAAATTAATGGCAATTAACACCAACGTGCATATTGATATATTAATGTCTATTCTTACTGCACCACCAAACTTAACATGCCGAACTGATATAATTATAAAAATACACATAAATATTAGGATATACAACACTATTATTATTAGTAGCATTTTTCAGGTTATTACACACCAACATAAACACAAAGTCAATGTGAAAACGGGTGGAAACGTTCGACACAAATATGATATGTTTATTTTGCAAGTTGATATGATGTGAACAAATAACTTATCAATCTTAAAGTATATCACTTATTTTGCAGGTTGACATGATATAAGATAACATAATATGACATGAATAACCACTAAATAGATTATCACGGGTCAATTTTGAATTTGTGGATTAACATGCAACACGATACAAATTTTTTCGTGTCAATTTTTGTTAACACAAATGCTACACAAACTTATAAATAGGTCGATCTATGAATTTTTGTGTTTGTGTCAACGAGTTGAGTTTAAAATTGTGACCTCCAATTAATGCCCTAGCAGCACCCTCTTTGAAAAGGGAATTATATTAACGCATTAAACAACTATTAGAACATGTGGGCATGTGGCCAAATCTTCAAATAAAAAAGAGAGTACTCTATGATGAAATTCAAAGATCTTGTTGACAAATCTTCTAAATATGTATGCAGAAGCATTTAGACGTGTGTGCAGCACTTGTTTGCGAGCAGAAGAGTGAGTTGGGTTATAATAAATCACTAATAATTGCTTATTAGTGAGGCCACATAAATAATTAAAAAAATAATCGCTTATTTGAATAATTCAATAAGGCCCACATAAATACCTAATGATTCAGCTTGTAGAATGCGTGGAGCAAGAGGCACAATCAACGCTTGTTAACACTGACTCTTTGCCTATACATTACCATTTTGCAGCTAGCAAGTAGCAAGCCACACGACGGAATAGGAATATGATGCATGCCCTTTTTTTTTATACCATATTTTCACTAATTAATGTCAAAATAGTGTTAAATAATTATTTTATGCAAAACTATTAAATTCATAAAAGCAGAATAAAAAGCTTTAAAGTTATTATTCATCTTTTGTTTAGAATTTTATTTTTATAAAAGAATTTAACTCCTCTAAAATAAAAGGTGCATTTAAATAAGCAGAAGAAATTATAACTAGTTAACTTTAAAATCCAATTTTTTTTTCATTTTAAAAATTAAAACTCCAAAAACCAAATTCAAACTATTTCATCGGGCCTAGTCTATTTGTGCTAAAAAAATTCACAAAAAAATTGAGGGCGGCGAGGATCGAACCCGGAACACCAAGGCTCTGATACCATGTAAAGAATCAATTCAACTCAAAAGCTTAAATTGTTAGGTGATATTATATTAATGATTTTATATAACTCATATAATATACAAAAAAGAGTGTGTTTGATCTAAAATTTATTGATATAGTGGCGACCCAGATAAATTCCAAGATTTGACTTGCCCAAATATAATGGGTTATGTCGGTTCTATTCTTACGAGGAAATATTCTTGTTACCAAAAAATTTCACTATTAACCCATTACCTATCTAATCATCATTGGATCAACATTTTCTTTCTCTGATCCAATAGTGATTAGATAGGTAGTGAGTGAGTTGGTAATGAATTTTTTTGGTAGTAAGAATATCCTCCCTCCTATTCTTATATGTTTTCTTTTTCAATTTATCAATGTTACCTGAAATTTGGAGAAACTTTTTTATACTTTTGTTATTCAGTTCAAATAATAAAAACCCAAATTTAATGTAGGAGCTCAATTTTATTTTTATTTTTGGTCGTCCTTAGTTTTTGCCTTTTTCTTTCTGATTTGAAAAATAAAAAGTCATATTGAAGTCGCATGACCTAAAAATGAATCATTTTTTTAAGTTGTGACAAAACTAGCAATTTCCAGATCATTTTTTTACATTAATTTTTATTTGGTTTGTTTTAGGCTTTAACAAATGCAATTTAGAGGCCCCTCAACGGGTAGAATTCGGGCACGTCTAACTTCTTGACCTGTTTGGTGTTGGAACTTTTGATGGCACAGATTATTGCTTTGGAACAAAATGAGTCCCTGTTCTAATATTAACAAGTAGAGTTTCTTTAGCATCCTAGATAATTTTTATTTTTTTTGGTATACTCTCTCGTGTTCTCTTTAATTTAATGAATTAGGTAACATGACTTTCCAGTTTTCCGTGCTTTCATATCAACTTCCATACCCATTAATTAACAAGAAAGATTAGCCATGAAGACAGCAAATAGATCGTACAGTTAGTGCTTTCCAGCACATATTTGCTACAACAGTTGTGTCACCTGCCATAAGTAGGTCACGTTTGACTCGACTCGAAACTCTGACAGCTGTTTAATTAAGTAGGTTTTCAAGCTAACATGATATGCAAAGGAACGATTTATTTATGTATTTGCATGTCCACGTGTTACATTACATCCTACCTCGGTGGTAAGATGCAATTTGGGTGGACACAGAAGAACGTAGATACTACTACTAGACAGCCATCTAAATTGTATGGTTGTTGTTTATGATTCAAAGCTTAATGCGTACAGCTTCAGATTGGCAAGCTGTAATCGATTTTAAGGAGACACTCCAAATGATTTCTCTGTTGAAGCATGTAAAACAGAATATGCCAGAAATAAATGATGGAACTTGTTGGATAACCTACAAGTGGATTAGCATTTTCACCAAAGGAAAAGTACCAACTATGGTTCAGTCCACAGACGAAGTTATGTACATCACAGCACAGATATGGTGAAACTGGAGTAGAAATGCATGTACTAACAATCAATTGTGGATATGAATATACTTGGAAGTAAAAAGTAGTTGTACAAACTCAATAGTTGTTGATCCAGTGGTGACCCAACTAGATTTAAGGATTGATCTGCCCAAAGGTTAATGGGTTCTGAGAGTGGGAACTCCTGTGAGAGAGTGGAAAGACTCAAACCCGAAACCAGATTATCACAAGTTGATATCAACAAAAAAACAATAATTGGACAATAAGGGGCAAAAAAATGAACTCCCTTAAAACGTCTGAATGAAGGGAATCAATTGGTTGGCGTTGATTCTTCATCATTGTTGAGTTCATAAAAAAAAGGATCCTTAAGGAGATCCGTGGCTGAAGGTCTTGCCCTTGGTTGTGCTATGCACTTCTCAATGAAAGACTTCACCTCTGGATCTGAGACTTTGCTCAAGGACTGAGGCTTAATTCCCATGGTGACCTTTTTGTATATCTTGGCGACACTGTCACATTCACAGTAGGGTATCTCCATCGTAACCATTTCAAGCAAACACATTCCAAAAGAGTATATGTCCACCATCTCAGTGTAATCTTCCTCATACAGCTCCGGTGCCATATACTCAGGTGTCCCTAAAATTGAATGTGCAGCATGGCTCCGTCCCACTATAGCAGCCAATCCGAGATCACCAATTTTCACCTTCAAAATGCCAAAGTCAAAAACTAATATCTCAAAATTTAAATTGGCAAGCCAACCAATCACATAAAGCCTATCAAATCAGAAGATCTTGTTTTCCTATATTTTAAAATGAGAACTACTAGTGACTTTTAGATTTTCTTTCAACCTAAGCTCACTAATCAAACGAATCATTGCCAAAAAAAAAAAAGGCTGCATTGCAGATATATCTATCCAAAGTCAATTCCCCGGAAGCAAAAATCACTTAAGTGGAGCCATTCAGTTTTGTTTGCTTTTAATATTCTTCTCAGATATCATCTAAGCAGTGACTAGTGTTCAATATTTATTTATTGTGAAGATCATTTGGTAACTTTCTAGCATTACATTTTTAGTTTCTCTGCTTTGCTAATTTGGATAATTCAATCATAAGGGTCTGCAATAAATTAAATGTTTTACCTTACAGAAAAGAAGATTATTTAACCATATAAAACACTTCTCTTCATCAATAACATGACATTAAAAAAAGTAATGTAGACTACCTGGCCAATGTTGCCGTTAACAAAGATGTTACTGCAATTGAGATCTCTGTGAATAATGCAAGGATCATGTGTATGAAGATACTCCAATCCCTCAAGTACTTGTTTAGACCATTTCTTGAAAGCCTTAATGGACACATGACGATGCTTTTTTCTGTAATCCCTAAGATTCCCAGAAGTGCAAACCTCAGTAATGAAATTAATAGTGTGGCGATCATCATCTTTCCACACACTGTAACACACAATGATATACTTGTTGCTCAGATTTCTAAGCAACTCAACCTCAGAATGAAGCCTATTTATGAGAACAGGGTCATCGCTGAAATTCCTGAGCCGAACCTGATTCCACGCCACCTCAATCCCTTCCTCTTGATCAAATGCCCTGTAAACCCTTTTCACAGCTCCATAACCGAGCAGATCATTGTAACGCCCAAACCTACCCGTTGGGTCAATTTCAACAAACGCTTCCACTTCTCCGTCGCAAGTGTTCGACTTCTCAGCAGGCATTTTCAATATATCCAAACCTCTGCTACACAACACAACACAACACAACAAAACAAAATTGTCTATAGTATAAGAATATAATCTTCACGATACTAAGCTTTCAGTTTCAATGAAAATCACGATATGAAGAAAGGAAAGTAGAATAGAGAATTATCCATGAACGAAGATTTGTGATTGTAGCTTACCACAGAGAAAGAAAGAGAGAAGAAACAGAAAGCGAGCATGAAAATTACTAAAGCATGAGATTGGAATAAATAGGCAAGGGATAGAGTCTCAAAATGTGTTAAAACCGCTGTTCATCCAGTAAATCATTATATTTTGGTCTAATTCATCAGATATTTTTTGTGGTCATGGAATTTATCTTATTTTTCTATAATTTATTTAATAGTTTAAATTTTTTTAATAATTATTAACTTTTTTTTTTTTGTGATTTGTAAATTATGTTTAAGTGTGTGTTGACGGTGCATTATCTTCTTTTTGATTGCACATTATTATAATTATTTACTTTTTTATTATTTTATTTTGTCTATTTATGTTCTACTATTATGAAGTTGTTTTTTGATTAAATAAAATTAAGAAAAAAGAAAAGTATTTTCTTGATTCATTCTTTCTTTTTTTTCTTTATCCAATTTGATTATTGCTCCGGCATTATGTGGTAGGGCTTTTTTTTAGTCCTAACTTTCAAAGTCCTATAATTTTGGATGATTTGTGAAATATTCCTAATTAATTGGACTTTTAACCCGTACGAATATTGATTATTGAGGTTCATTTTATCTTAAATTTTTTTTGGCCTTATAGGTAGGGCCAACATTTTGACAACTCTAGCGAGGGATATAGAGGAAAATTATTCAACGATGTGGTTTCTCTGACGCAAATTTAATTGAGTTGGATGAGGTGGCGAATTTTAATGTACACAATCCCTTTCCGTTTACTTTTTATGTATTTTCTTTTTCCCATTTTGGTAGCGTTTCCATGAAGCAGAATCATAATATAGATCCTTATGTGACGGGAATCACTGCGTCTGATTCTCAAGTTGTTTGGTTCACGAGAATAATGGGGAAACATTACACTCAAAACCTAAGTTTCAGGCAACGCCCGTGCTCAAGTGCCAACTTTGACTCTTATTTTCTGAATCTTCCAGCATTGCCTTCAACAACTCCTTCTTCATGAAACTTCCAAATAATGTGTTGGCAAATATCATTCGTCCTACGCATACAATAACTATTGGTGTGATTGTTTAGCCCAAAAATAATAAAAATAAAAATCATTAAAAAAAGGTTTGAATACATGCATACGTTATTTTTATTACGATTCTCGAATCCCGTTCGTGATACACAGTACGATGTAGCTATGTTTGATGGTTAGGATAGGATAAGAGTAGGATATGATATGATATGAGGCTGATAAGGGTAAGATATGATATGAAGCTGATAAGCCTATATCATGTCCTGTGTTTGATGAGCACCTGATTAGCAATCTGATAAGATTATGCAGGAGGAGAAAGAAGAAAGAAAAAATAAAATATAATGCAATTAATATAAATATATTAGGTAACGGAGGATATATTGGGTAGCGTGAGAATATATTGGGTATCTAATATTGGTATCCTATCCCGTTGAATCTTAACTCAGCTCCCCTTATAGGATAAGAAATCATGTATTTGATAGAATAAAATGAGACAATAGGATAATCTAATCATATCATATTGACTCACTAAACAAAAGATAAAAGTATGATATGATAAGTTATTCTATTCTATCTTCTTTATCAGGTGCTCCAAACAGGCCTTTGGGATCAATTAGCATGAAATTTGTATCAATGTAATCAAAATGCTTCAGTTCTAAATATTTAGATACATCGGAACTCTTGGTTTTTTTTAAAATAGGACAATATTGTTATCTAATTACAGTCAATCATCAGTGACAGTCTTGTGAGTCTGTCAGGGTGTGTTTAATGCTTTTCAAAGACTATGGAACCGCAAACAACAGAAAGTCATACATAAAAAAGCAACTAGTTTATTAACAGAGCTTATCTTTTCAGCAAAAATAAACATGAACAATTATTGATCAATGGACCACAATCGAGGCTTCTCATAATCAATGACTCTGATGGCTTTCTTCGCCAGACACATTGATCGCTTGGCCATTGTAACATGCTCTTCAGCTAGCATGTCGGCAAATTTAAACGAATGACATCTATGAAAAGCACCATGGGATCGTTTATTTTATTTCGGGCAAGGAGATCCAATTGAAGAGCTGAAACAGGCATTAAGATACTTGTACATCGCGTGCAGGCACAAAAACCCTCATCTGGTATTTTACCTTTATCTGATAATTACTAGAAAAGGCCATACCATGATATAAGCATCAAACTGCCATCAACACCGATTCATTGTTTTCATGTGGCATTTGGTTAACTGACGACAGCACACATGTATATGAAGCCATAAAAGCATCAAACTGCCATCAACACCGATTCATTGTTTTCATGTGGGATTTGGTTAACTGACGACAGCGCACATGTATATGAAGCCATAAAGAGCCTACTTATTTAAGCACAAAGAAACATTAAGGAACTTGCAATAAAAAGAAAACCTGTTTAACAGCCAAAAGGTCAGAGATAGTAACTTCATAGTTAGTTCAGTATACAACAATGCCTTCAATAGAAGGATTCACAAGAGAACTTTTATCAACGAGATTTCTGATATAGACAACCAGTAAACAAGAATAAAACTAAAAGAATTAAAATTTGGAATGAAAAATTCAGAAAGAAAAATCTATTATCCTCAGATTGCTCTTCCTCTCCAAATTTACATTGGTCGATGAGATTTTATTATTTTAATACATTGTCCAGGAAGAAAAAAGACTTACTACGTGATCATTTTATCATGGCTTCAAAACATGTTACAACATATTACCAGGGAGGATTGGAGTCCTCTCTAACAGATGGAGACCTGGAAACCAAGCTCCCATCTTCTGTACCAAACCTTGACACACTTCTAGTTCTAGGAGTAGCCAATGCAGGAGAAGAACCACGGTAACTTGCACGGAGTGATTCATCAACAGAAGATGAGGACTTGGCAATTGCATTCCGTACAAACTTCTGAGCAGCAGGAGAAAGGGTCCGCATGCTTGGACTAGCACTTCCACCTCTAACTGGTGATGACAACGGGGGCTTACGAAACATCTTTGACCTCTCCCTCAGCTTACGTGCAGCCTCCCTAGAAAGTGAGTGTGCTTTTGCATCTCTTGCCGGTGCAGAAGGAATCTTATAATGAGGCCCATCAGCACTACCACCAATATCAATTGGCGTATCCTCCATGTCCAACCTCAGTGGTGTCCCTTCTATTTCTCCCCAAGTAATAAACGGGGATTCATCAACTCCCGGTGCAGGAGATGGTGTCTTCACAAAGCTATAACCATTCTCAGCTTTCTTCCCAGATTCCAAATAAAACGGATTCGGAGTCTTCCTCAAATCCTCAAGATCATACTTCTTTAATTTATCCCCATCTCTGAGAGACATAGGAGCGGGAGTAGCACCAGCAATGGGGGTATAAAGCATCTCAACAGTTCCATCTTCTTTCGGCCTAGAATCCATCATTTTAGAATGAAATCTTGTATTTGGCCGATTGATTTCCTTCGTCAAGCCTTTGATCCTAAAATTCCTTTCCTCCTCAGTCAGCGGGACCTCACCCCGATCAGCAGGATGATACATCAACAAATTCTTGGCCGTGTAATTCCAGCCTTCCAAGGTACTTGGAGGCTGATAAGAGGTTCCATAACCATCAGTTATCCTATCCCTCTTCGCATCCTCAATAGCCTTAACATCTTCATTCAAATACCCAAATCTCTCTTTCCTCTTCCTATTCACTTTGTCCAAAATCTTTGAAAAGCTATGATTATCTTCACTCGTATACCTCCTCAGAAATTGATCCAGGCCAAGCGAATCATCCACCAGACCACCCCCCTCGCTAGTCTTAATCTCTCCCTCATCTACTACAGACAAACCGGGTGTTTTGGGGGGTTTTCCATCAAATTCATCAAAAGGAGTGAAATTTCTCATAAAGGTGGAACCGGGTGTCTGTGAGATTCTACCATCGAGAGTGTTAGAATTGGTTACCTTTCTATTTGTACCAGCACGACGCTCTATGATCTTCAACTGGGCATCGCGAATTTGAACGGGATCACCGGTCTTGATGGCTTCGAGCCAATCGAGGCGGTCGCGAAGCTTCGAGATGTCGGGGAAGTAGTCGCGCTCGATAATCTTCTCCAAAGCTTCCACGTAGGTGTCTTCGTCGAGAACCGTTGGTTGCTTCGCACTCGCAATCGCAGAGGATGATGAAGACCCATTAGGGTTTTGCACAGAAAGTTGGGAAAGGGAAGGGGATGGGGAAGAGAGATGGAGCGGAGAGTGGCCTGGAGATTGAAGCATTTTTCCTTGTTGAAATTCTCGACTGAATTGATGTGATGAAGTTGAAAACTGAAAACTGAAGATTGAAAATTGAAATTTGTGGGTTAGGGTTAGGGTTAGGGTTTGATTGATTGGAGTTTTTCAGGTCCAACACAAATGAGGGCAAGCGTGATTGCGCAACTTGGATTGGAAGTTTGGAACAGAACAGATTCCAATACACCGTGTCCGTATCTCATGATTTTGTTTATAAATAAATATTTAATGCTGTTATTTTCAAAAAAATTGATTTTAATTTTTTTAATTAATTATAAAATACACCAACATTTCAAAAAATGACTTGTCATGATGATTGACACTTCACAACACTCCAACACGATGAGTTGCAGATACTAAAAAAAGAGTTAAAAAATTGCATTGCATTGTATTTTTAATTCCAACTATTAGATTCGTTGAATTAAGATTAGTACTTTATTAAATATAATATAAATATTTGTCATATCTTATATTTCTTTACAAAATAGAAAAATATTATTAGTTTAGCTTTATTTTTTATTAAATTATTGAATATTAATATAATATATATTATATAAATTAAAAATATTATTTAATATCAAAAATGTCAAAATTTATCATTTTTTTAAATTCCCCTATGTATAGGAGTTTCATGTACGGTATATCCTGTAAGTGTGGGTGCAATATACATTATAAATATATTTTTTGTAATTTTAAAACAATTTTAATTAATGTACTAAAAAAATTATCTATATTATTAAAATTTAATTTAATTTAAAATGTACATGCAAGACAATGATACGTAGTGGGTTTTTTTAAAAGAAAACTAAACTGGGCCTATAAAATAAAAACTGCTTTTGTAAGCCCAATCCTGAATGTAGAGCAGAGGGAGAGTGGAGAAACAAAAGTAAGGTCCAATTAATGGGAAAGTTGGGTTTCCAAAGAAAAAACAAAACCGTCGAATGAAAAGAAAACAGTGACAAATGAAATTAAAGCAAACGAAGGCATATTCTCTGTGTTTATTATGTCAGCGTTGAGAGAGAGAGAGAGAGAGAGTGGACTTTTGTTCCTTTTACCTTGTTTTTTGGGTCAAATAAAGAAGGATGTTGGATTGGGGTGTTATACTCTCTCGTCAGTCTCTCTCTCTCTCTCCCATTGGTCAGTACATCCAAAACAACAGAAACAGCTTCTTCTACATACTTCCTTTCCTTAAGAATTGATTCACTAGTTTACTCAACTATTGCTCCTCTTCTTCTCCAATTCATCCTCCCTTGTGGTAATGCTATCTTTCTCAACCACTTCTCTTTATGTATATATATACCATTCAATTTTACTACACTTATATTCTTTTCTTTTTTCTTCTCCTCTGTGTGTGTGTGTGTGTGTGTTTTATATTATTAATAATATAGTAAAATAATTGTAGGATTTTTCTTGTAATTGAGGTATGAGTTTGGGATGTTTTCAGAGAAGGTGGAATAGATATGTTTGAAAATTAAGATTTATCACCATATGAGACCTAACAAATGAAATTCCCCCTCTCCCTCTCTATCTTTCCACTCGATTTTTGTTCGGTTAATTTCAGACACAAAATAAAGAATAAGTGATGTTTGTATTATTCAACTAATAATTGAGTAAAATATGTACAACACTGTAAAATTGATCTCAAAGTGGGAGCTGTAAATCGAATTTTGCTTTCAAATTTGGGTTCCTTTCAATCTGAAACTTAGAATGCATTTATGCATGTGTATATTTATATACGTTATTAATACTCTGATTTGGTATATATGTAGCTCTGCTATTTGATCCGTGAAGAGTGAAGCGAAAGGCTACATATGTTCAAAGTGAGTTTCATCTTGCCACTTCTACTAATAAAAGTTTTTTTTTTTTTGGTAAAGGAATCATGTTAAATAATCGCTTTGTCTTCTTTATTTGGTGGAATTACTTTGTCTTCTAATTTGTCCTGTATGAAGTTCATTAAGTATCTCCCTGTAAGAGGTCTACCTCACTTCCCTTGCTTTAATTAAAGCTGTAGTTTAACATATCTGATTCACATGATGGGAAATCCAATCTGTACCATCACAAGTCAAATCAATTACTTATCATGCAACCCCAAGTCAAACTCACCCACAAGTCCACAACTAATGCAGCGTTGACAGATGAGACACACAGTGCCATTTAGCTTGAGAAATATTTTTAGCACTCTTTGCACATGTTGCGCTACTATTAATGATTTCACTGCTAGTAATGAGTGACGAAGTTTCTAAAGTTTATTAAATGAAAATCTTTCTCAACCCCCACTATTCATTCTATGTTATTGGTATTAATGAGTTTTAATTTGCATTTATTTATTGTGTACTTTTCATTTGGGTTTATCTACTGTCGACTCTAATTAATTTAGAATAAAGGTATTTTTGATATTGAAGCTTTCTAAATTTGTGTCAGGTTTGAACAACCACAAGGACACTATGTTTGTTCTAGTCCGTCATTTCAAGATATTCATTGAAGCAGTTAATGAAACTAGACCTGTTTCCTTCTGATATATAAGATAAAGGTTCTCATGGTTTCTTCAGAAGAAAGCGCAGACCATAATGTTTCTTCTAATAAATTGCAGCAAAGAGTGAGTCCTCTTAGCGATACTACCTTGTCACAAGGGATTCATGATACTAAAATTCATTTGTCCAGACAAGTTCCTTCTATTGTAGCTCAAAACGAAGTGAAGGATTCTGATGCTACTGCTTGTGCCTTGAAATCAGATCAAGAAGGAAGCATATACTCTTTAACATTTGAGAAACATTTGCAGAGCCCTGATAATGTTTCGCATGAATTGCCTCCATTGCAATCTGGTCAGGACAGTCCCTCTATAATACGTGAAAGGGTATCAAAAGATGGCTATAACTGGAGAAAATATGGCCAGAAACATGTTAAGGGGAATGAATTTATAAGGAGCTATTATAAGTGTACACATCCAAACTGCCAGGCAAAAAAGCAATTGGAGCAGTCGAATAATGGGCATATTACAGATTCCATTTGCATCGGTCAGCATAATCATCCTAGACCTCAACTGAACACCATACCACCAGTTGATTGTGTTCTTCCTGTTGTTGAAGAAGGGCCTCACAAAACTTCTTCAGCCAATGTGGAAGGTGAGAAATAAACTTTGTTTGTATTTTAATTTCTATCCTTCCGTGAATAAGCTCTTAATATATTTTGTGGCATCATACATGAAGAGAAAGCATCCGTTGAGCATGGATGTATGCCTCAACAGATCAAGTCTTTACATTCCCTTCCAACTTCAAAAGTTTCCCCAGATGATGAGTTGAAAGCTGCACATTTACAATTGACTAAGGCAAAGGATGAGGTTCATAACAATGAGAATCCTGAGTCAAAGCGGCTGTACGTTATTTGACTACCTGTAAAAACTTTGTTTGGACTAATATATATGCAATAGTTAACCTTTGTTTTACTGCCAAATTGATACGAAACAGGAAGAAAGACAATTGTAACGCTGATATCACTGGGGTTGACAAGTCAATTTGTGAGTCTCGTGTTGTTGTTCAGACTTCAAGTGAGGTTGATTTTGTAAATGATGGGTATCGCTGGCGCAAATATGGGCAGAAACTAGTTAAAGGGAATACAAATCCAAGGTACATGTTAGCTTTTCATTTCAGATGTAGCCGTATTTTCATTTCTACCTGTGTTGTATTAAAGTGCTTTTATATCGGTCCAGAATACATTATATCATTCTGTTTCATATGGACCAGCCTGAAACCTTGTCACTATAAATTGATTGCATTAGCTTCTAGTCTAAAGATCTATTGAATTATAATTTTTGTTTAATTCTGCAGTCTGCACAACTTTCTGCCACATTTTTTATGGTTTTAACAATTGATTTAACAGTCCTAACCAGGCTGTGAAATGCCAGCCTACCCCACAAACGTTTGCACATAGATGAACAATTTTATCAGAAGTCTCATGTTTCTTTGGCATACAAAGAAAGCAACGACAATTTTATCAATAATGCTTTTGTTCTGAATTGGTACATTGTGGATTTGCCAATGAGTGGTGACCAATCCATTTGGTCTAACGGCAGCCTCTTCTCCTTTAAGTACGGGTACACTTGTCAAATTTTCTACCTGTCACAACTGTTTTAGATGCTTATTTGCTCTCTCCCTCCCCCCTCTCTCTACCTCCCTCTGTTCTGAGCTTATATGGAAATATACATGCATTCATGTGTATTTTAATTTAATGTGATTTCATTTTTTCTCCACTCTTTCAGGAGTTATTATCGATGCTCGAATCCTGGATGCCCTGTCAAAAAGCATGTGGAAAGGGCCTCTCATGATTCAAAAATTGTAATAACTACCTATGAGGGACAACATGATCATGAAATCCCCCCAGTAAGGACTGTCACTCATAATGCAGCTACAAATACTCAGACAATGATCACTGATGGCAAGTTTGGAACCAAATCTAGAGGTAATATTGTTGGTGTTGATACAGGGGAAAGCAGCTACTTGGACTCAGAAAGCAGATTAAATCAGCAACTAAATGGCGAGTCAATTACTAAATTAAAGGATGGTGAGATGGTTGAATTTGGTGTGGTCAGCTTGTGTAGTAAGGGTCCTGAACTTAAATTGAGTGAGCAAGAACAACAAAATGATAACTCGGGTACCAAAGACGATTCTAGCAATGACATCATATGCCATTCAAGTTCCGAAGTTCCATGTAGATCAAATGAACAGCTGAAAGATGAGGTGAAAACTAAATCAGGAGGAAGTAAGGATTGCGTCAATGTGGTTGCCGTTCATGATACTCCTAGTTCAGAAAGTGAATTTAATAAGCAATCAACATCTGATGCTGAACCTGTCCAAAGCTAAATTTGCAATGTTTTTTCAAGCTGCAGCTAGTTACTGAAGATTATAAATAGTTGGAAATGACATAGGTTATACAGATATCTCATGGGATTATGATTCCTATTTCTATCCTAACCTTCATTTTCCCCTTCTTTACCTCTCTTTCTTCTTGTCTTTGGGCAGGTTGACTAAATATGCAAATCATAGTTAATACTACATTGGATACCTTTACTTGCATACCATTATTATTAGGAATAAGTAAGTGAAGATGTACATTTTCTTATACTTGTATCTAAAATTCTAATATTTTGTAATATATTGTCGAATGTACTCCCATGTATTTCTTGTTTTGTGCCTACAACTATGCTTTAAATTGTCTTGCTTAATGTGAATTCAGAAAATGCCTTCCATAACTCAATGGGTGTAGCTCTCAGCAACTCAGGTTGAGTAGCATGGGGAAGAATCTGGATCCAATTTTTATCAAATACATCTTTGAAGAGGGACGATGATGCACTTAAGTCACCATAAATTATTATAACTGCAGACGTTTCAGTTTTAAAGCTTTTTATGGATTTTAATAATTGCAGACGTTTCAGTTTGCATGACTTTATGTTTTGTTTATGGTTATTTCCGTTTTGTATCAGTTTTTAAGACCATTGATGGTCTTTTATTGTCAGTTACTTTTTGTATTGCCTTTAAAAGGCTGGTTAGAAGGATGTGAGGGAAGACTTTTGGTTAGTTGAAGAATAATAATATAGCAGAAAACTTCTGCATTTTTTTCCTGAAAGCCTACTTTCCATATAATTTTGCATCATTTGGTATCAGAGCTCAGGTTGCCTTAAAGATGGCTGAGCAGGAAAATCGCGAAGGTCGTGGACGAAGAAGTCGTGGCGGCAGACGTGGTCAACCTACCGATGGTGATTATTATACTGATGCGAGAGATGCTGAAATTGAGGAAAAGGACAGACGGATCCAAGAACTCGCACAGTTGCACGAGTCAGATGAAGGATGGGAATCTGAAAGATCATCTCATGAGGAGGAAAGAAGATTATGGAACCGAAACCAGGAGCGATGAGGACGAAGTCAACCTGGAAATCAATCCTTTTTTGCTAATATTGAGGTGAAGATTGAGATCCCGAAATTCGAAGGCACTACTCATCCAGATGAGTTTATCGACGGGTCACACACCGTCGAAAAGATCTTTGACATCATAGACTTGACAGAAGACCAGAAGGTCCCAATCTATGATGAATATGATGAAGAGCAAGACGACGAGAATCTAGAGGTGAAAGAAATCTCTTGTAGTGATTCCGATGGGAAGTCAGTTATTAGAAATTCTAATGCTCCAATTTATGACAAGTTCCCTATCTATGATAAGTATGATTGGGAAGACGACGAGAATCTAGAGGTGAAAGAAATCTCTTGTAGTGATTCCGATGGGAAGTCAGTTATTAGAAATTCTAATATCTCTGACAAAGATGAAGTTCTACCCAAAGATATCATGCAGAATGATCCTTCATCCAAGAAATCTTTAGTTTGCAAGCAATATTATGAATTTGGGGACAACGAGCATAACAACCTTATGCTCCATATGCTCCATGGAGATAAAGATTTAGCTTTTGGTAAAAGTGATAAAGATTTAGCTTTTGGTAAAAGTTTAATTGGAGATCGTCAAAGGCAATGGGACTTGCTGGTACATCAGACAAAGTTTTCCTATGACAGATCACAGATGCGATCATTGATCCAAACTACAAATGAATATACCAAGCATGTCAAAGAATTGCATTTCCAAGTCCTAATCTTAATTAGGAAATTTGGTGATATTGTACCAGAAGAGTTGCCGCCTGGATTACCACCTGAAGACGTTGCAGATTCGAGGGCGAATCTTTTCCTAGTGGGAGAGGATGATGCACTTAAGTCACCATAAATTATTATAACTGCAGACGTTTCAGTTTTAAAGCTTTTTATGGATTTTAATAATTGCATAACTTTATGTTTTGTTTATTGTTATTTCCGTTTTGTATCAGTTTTTAAGACCATTGATGGTCCTTTATTGTCAGTTACTTTTTGTATTGCCTTTAAAAGGCTGGTTAGAAGGATGTGAGGGAAGACTTTTGGTTAGTTGAAGAATAATAATATAGCAGAAAATTTCTGCATTTTTTCCTGAAAGCCTACTTTCCATATAATTTTGCAAAGACCCAATTGAGGAATAGTTTTATAAATGATTCAAAGATATCTTTTAAGGATATCAGAAAGACGACTCGCCTCAAAGTGGTAAATCGGGTATGCATATCAAAAACAGAAAAAAAAAAATGCCTTGCTTTGCATAATTGTAGTCTTTTAATAGAACAATAGCTCTGCCATATGTTCTAGTGTGTGATTGCTGGTGCAGTGGTTTAGGTTCGATCTCTAATATTATCGTCGATGGCCAACTCATTTGAGGATCCCAGAAATGATGCAAGTCACATCCGCATTGTAATGATACAATATCATCCTGGAAGAAGAAAATCCTTTCTCAAGGACTGAAGGACACACCGAGCAAAGTTAATTTTAGTCCCGCCGTATAAATAAAAAAAGAAAAGGAAAGGAAAACGAAAAAGAAAAGAAAAAAAAAGATAAAATTCATCAAATTTCAAGCAATCTGATGCGGTTATATTCTTTTCTTTAGTAAATTATTACCTATTTTGGTTTATGAAACCACATGGGGCTTTTCTATTAATTTGATTTTAAAGTAATACATAAAATTAAAATGTTTAATAACGTGAATGAACAGCTATGTTTGATAACAGGATAGCATAGCTACGAAAAGTCACTCTTCAATTACTCTAGGAAATCATTTTCCCCAGCCACCCAGCTAAACTATAATATTTAAGCATTGGAGTGCTCAGGATTCAGGGCCAGAAAAAGATTATGAAATGAAAGATTAATATTGCTCATAAAGAAAAACTGCTAGCTACATTTCCTATTAAAATTCTTGAAACACAGAAAAAGACAATTAGATTGGATTTAATGTGGCCTTTCTCAGTAACTCATACAAAGCAATGGAACAAAATAAGAACAAGGAAAGGTTCTGTTTCATCCCCCCTCGAACTTTCAGGAGTCACACAATGCCCAGTTCTCATCTCCATGCGCAAGAAGCAACCAAATCTCTATTCATCCAACCAAGATATAGAGCTCCATCTTTCTCTTCAAGTCTATATCTATCACTGTAGTTCTCAAGCAATTTCTTAATAGTAACATTCACCAATGAACTCAAAGGGTAAGGAGTGAAACCAGCCATTGCAAATCTTGACTTCCACTTCCCAAGCAGCTCATGTCGCTCCACCCTCTCAACCCCTTCACAAGCTATGATGTTAACTATATCTCTTGCCAAGCAATGCTGCTCAACATTGATTCGCTCTTTATGATCTCTGGGAAGAGTTACATCTATTGACTCAAACATTGCTGTGTAATAGTTCAGAGTTTCAAGGAAACGTGGAAAGAATGCAGCAGTGTTCGTGTTAGATTCTTGCTCAACAAGTGTCACCACCTTTGGTGATAGGCTCTTTACCAACCTCAACAGTCTATCCCTATGATTCTGAGTGCTGACACTTTCATCAGGCATGTGATGTAGCATGAATGCAAAATTTACAGCCAGAGCTTCCCCTGGTCGAACTCCAAGGTTATGTAGTTGAATATCACAACCAGAGACAGCTGCAGCATGAAATTCAAATGGCACCTTAAAATGCTCAGCAAGCTTTGATAACCTCTTTCCCACTATATGCAGTCCACCACCACGGGCATAAGCTGATGTTGAATCATCAATACCAGTAATCCGAATGTGCGGTGGTCCTCCGGGCCTTGCCGCAAAAGCCTGAATTAAAGTGATCCACTGGCTTCCTTGAGCAATTTGGAAATCAATTATATGAACTCTGTCTTCAGCTTTCATAGCTTCTGCAATTGCTCCATTTGCTGACATGTATCCAAATTTGAAGTAGGGGCAAACCTCATAAAGTATATGCATGTATGAGAGAAGCTCAGCACTTTCTGGTTCTTTGCATCTTAAAGATTTGTAGATTGAACTCCCAGAGGCAGCCAATCGCGCAACAAGTCCTTCCAACATGTATGCTCCCAATCTTTGAATTGGTTCACCAGAAACTGACACCATCTGCCGTAATTCGTCCATCAGCCATTGTGCCATTAGCAAATCATTGTCTGCAATTGCTTTAGCACATGCAATAAGGATGTGCTTTAGGTTTTTACTAGAAATTGCTATCATTGTTTGTCTCCAACAATCCATCTCAGGTGGCACAAAGTTGGTTCCATTGCTGATGGCACTGTCATAACTATCAAGATTATCAGAGTCGGGGCCAAACATTACACTTTCCAACTCTCTCAGCTTGTGCTTGAAGTTACTTACATCATCGGTTATGCAGGACCCGCTCATTGGAGAGCCATAGTTATTATCAGGGGAATGATCCTGGTCAGGTGGATATGACTGAGAATCTTGCTGCGATATTGGGCTACCATTGGGTGAGAAACTAACAGTTGAAGGGGAGTTGTAAACAGTGAAACTGCCAGTTGCAGAGGATGACTCCAATGTGCAGTAAAATTCAGAAGAACTTGGAGTGGAGAAGTGGGTTCCATGGCCTTCATTGTTGTAGTATAGCTGATGGTTTAGAGTTCGATACTGCGGCAAGCTGTAGGCTTCAATTTGTTGCAATGGTTGATAGTACATACTTGAGCCTCTATGTTGCTCTGATGCCTGCATTATAGAATCAATAATGAAGTAACTGACCAGCGTTTTAACTGTAATACAGTAGCTTATGTGGTCTCTTCCAACAGAAGCTGAACAATCAACACTAGTTTCCTAGAGACAGCTGCTAATTGGTACACACCGCAACAAAACAGATATCCATGGATTTCCTTTGCAATATCAATTAGATCTAGTCCTGAATTGCTGAAGGTTCATTCTTCTTAGAGGAGATAAACCCCAGATTTGACATAATCTGCTGTCTGCATGGAAGAATCAAGCATCAGTGTTATCATACCATCAACTTTCAAGTTTCATACAATGCATATAAAGACACAGAAAGCCACAGCTTAAACATTTAGTTAATAGGAACCAGAATACAAGGACAACTCTTGTGGATTCAGAGCAAAGTTACAATTAGTCTACTTTTTCTTCTTCTTCTTCTTCTACTGTGTATTATCAACAACTCGACTTCTATAACAAATCAAACACTTCTCTCCGTTTACTTTTTTATGACAAAAGAATAAAGAAATAAGCGGAATCAATTAGTGAAAATTTCCAAAGAAACTGCATAGATGACCAATTCTACAGATTACTGATTTTTCTTGACCAAAAAAGAAAGGAAAATATGTAGAAATTTCCAAAATTAAAGGAATAAATATTAGAAAGGAAAATGTCCATTAAACAAATTCAAAACATGAGACACACAAAGAATGTAGAAGGCCCTGTATATTGTATTGAATTAGACTTCATGAGAATAAAATTAAGTATTTTAAACAGCTGAGGAATTCACATTAGTATACGGAAAGATCCTCAACCAAACATCTCACCAAATCTAAAGAAAAATACGATTTTTATAAAACACCGATAATAAATTTCCAATTCTAAGTGATTAACTCGTTTCAGTTTTGAAATTGGCTGAGCTGAAGAGGAGAAAGCTTTGAATGTCAGTCAGAACAGATGCACAAACTACAAAAGCAGCAACAGAAAATAAAGAGTACTTTTTTCTGAGTTTAATGAAATTACCCAGATATTCTTAGCCAATATCACCCATGTATGGACAAGGTTAATCAAATCACCTCTTATAAAGTAGTCACATATATATATCATAACAAAATTTGTGTAATTCATAGCAAAATGCATATCACCCCATTACTAGAAACAGGAAATTAAATCTCAAATCCTCATTCATGACTTTGTTAAGAATCAATTAAAAAAAACAAAAAGGAAGATAGACATTTCAGCAAAAGCCATTCACATCACACAAACAGAAATGCTAAAAACTAGAACTCAAAAAGTCCACAGGCAAGAAGGATGAGCTCATTATATACTTTACATCACCAACCCATTTGGAGAAACCCTTGTAAGTCAGTAGAAAAACAAAAAAACAAAAAAAAAAGTAAAATTTGCAAGGAAAATACAAAACCATGAAATGGCTTTTAGTTTGAGAAGAATATAAAGTTTTTGAACATCAAACCAGTTTCTAACCTTGTTTTGAGGGAGTTCCAAGGTTGGAAAACCACAGTGGACTAGAATCTCAGAGCATGGGTATGTGTAAGAGACAGAGAAAGAAGAAGGCAATGCTGTTCCAATGAAAGAAAAACTAACAGTGACATATAAAATAATGGACATGAAATTGCCCTTCCATTATTATAGAAACTACACAGCAACCATGCTCAGTGGCAACTTTTGTTTCCTGCAATGACAGAAATACCCCCCTTTAGTAGCCAAAGAATCTAAAATACTATAGTCTTGTGTATATCCCATTAATAAAAATATAATATATTAGTTAAAATATTTTTCACAAAAAAATAATAACCAATAATTTTAATATTATGTTATATATTTTTAAAATATATAATTTGTAATTTATCTGGTGCGTGGTATCGAAGATATTCTCCTTAGCATGCATGGTCAAATACTCTTAGGTGGGCCCCATTGAGTTTAAGCAGTTTCACATCAATTTAATTTTCTAAGTCCTCCTTATTTATTCATTTTTTCTTAAACCCTTAATAACTTTTTTTACCAAAAAAAGAAAGAAAAAAGAAACTTCTTTATTTTAATATTTTTCTTTTTTTTGGAAATATATTTTAATATTTTTCTTTTATCACATTTTAGTATCTTTCTTCCAATTTTAACAACTAGTCTGTATTTATTGAGCACCTTGCTGAAAGGATTGCATTAATGACCTGACAAGTTTGATAACATGCATGGGAGGCTAAGTAACAACCCCAATGAATAAACTTGCTAACTAACATGGGTTTAATGTTAAATAATTGTACACAATAATGCCATTCACTAAATTTGCATGTGAATACATCGAGGGAGGTTTAGCTGGACCGATATCTCTTGCACAACATGTATGAGCAATGACATCATGGAAATGACATACTCAACTGATCGATCGCTTGTAGTTACGCTATAAAAACTTGTATTATTTATGTTATATAGCATGTGTTATGAAACAAACTTGAATTATTAATGTTATAACGTGTTATGAAAACCTCCTTTTTTTAATTAAGTTTTGTACAACGGGTGTATATTTCTTTCTGTTTGTCAATTGTGATAGATAGGTAGACGATGTAGAACTCGGAATATTCCTTTGTCATTTTAGCCCAAAACATTGATACATTAAAAATTCTAGTGTATATCGACATGTTTGATATACCTCGTACTCATTCTCCGTATATATATATACCACATGCTCAACCTTTAAATTAGCCTTTTTGTGATTTAAAAAAGAAATGTATCTAATTGCATTATATAGAAATTAATAGCAAAAACCAAATTTTTCTATGATTTGAGTAAGTTTGAGAATGATGTTTTAGATGAAATAGCTATTATGGACTACTCGGCCACTTTCTTGCTATCGAGTATCAATACCAAGGAAAGCAATTTTAATTTTCAAACAGGGACAATTTTGGTATTGATAGTTGCAAGTATTTTAATAAGAATAATAATAAGCTGAACCAATATAGATTGGTGTCCCCACTTTGATCTCGGGAAAACCAGCATCCATTATGCAAGAGAACTTATATAAAATGAACCAACTCACTTTGAAGTTCGAACGGATCAAAGAAACAACCTTGGCAAGGTCTTGGCCGGTGTGGTAGGGTCACACAACAAACGGTGCTTGTGTATGTAATTGAATTGTCGGGTGTTTATAGATGTATCTCATCAATGATGAGATATGTTGATATAGGGGTGCTTATAATAGTAATGGTAATGACCAAGGTTTAGATGAGCCTTCCTATAATGCTATGCATTAAAGGGAGACTATGTGTGGATGGTTAGGGTAGCTCTACAATAGTGCAGATAGCTCTTGAGTTGAATAGAAGAGAAGATGTGAGGCCTCTCTTTTTGTGTGAGAAAGGAGATATACAGGGAGGAGATGTAGTGACCTCTAAAAAGTTCTAGATATAAACTTTAAAACTAAATCTAATTAATTGGGCTGATAAAATGGGCCGGTCACGACAGTAATTAAACCTTCTAGGTATGCTTATTTTGTGTTGGGAAGAAAATTGGCAAAAAAATATGGAGAAAATGTTTATCTTTTTAAATGACATAACTTATATTCTTTCACTCTTATAAAGAGATGGAACCCACACCTTTGTTTTTTTGTCAACTCTCTCTCCTCATTTATCTATCTCTTTCTCTCTCTTAAAATGACATAATTTTACATCCTTTAAAATGATATACACTTTTTTCAAAAAATATATAAGTAAAAAGACTTGTAAATTTAATATTTTAGATTGAGCCATTAATATATGATGATATTTTTTTCTAATTTGGACTTCCCTCACCGCGCTGCATAATAAAGACTTACGGCTGTTTGCTCTTTAATTTTTTATCTTTGTAAAAGAAAAGTTTTTATCTTTTTAAATGACATAATTTATGTTATTTCACTTTTACAAAGAGGTAGGATTCACACTTTTATTTTTTTATTGTTCACTCCTCTCTCTCATAATCTATTTTTTCTCTCACTTAAAATGACACAACTTTATATCATTCCTTTAAAATGACTCACATTTTTTTCTTTTTGTAAAGATAAAACTCCACCCCAATCACCCGGGAGAGAATTTATTGTGGTTCGGGATCACCATTTTTTAAGTGGTCTCTTAGTGTAAATGGAAGAGTAAAATTAGAAAAGAAAAAAAATAACAAGGATAAAATGAGAAAGAAAAAATTAGTGTTATAAAAAGGAACATCAAATCATTAAATGATCCTGGAACATATTAAATATTTCCATCACCCAGGTGGAAGTAAATTATAAAATTAAAAAGATAAAGAACGGGGGATCAAGTTAAGGTCATTTTGATAATTTAACGGGTACATTATATTTCTCATTTTTATTATTAAATTATGAAAAAATGATTTGTCATATTACATGACAATAAATTATTTTTCCTAAACACACAATCCAAGCTGGATTTTACTTTTGATTTTTTTTTTCACTTTACTATTTAATAGAATCCACATATATTATGAGTGTGTAAGAAAATAATCTCTTGTCACGAAACATTACAAAAACAAAACCCTTAAATTATATTAACCAATATTAAATAAGCCATCCACGAAAGGCCGTCATTAAAAAGGTAGTGTTATGTACTATGAGATAATGACCCACACGGTTGAGTTAGATATTAGAAGAGAGAGAACCTTACATTTAAAGGCAAAGGCATCAATGATGTAGGAAGTAGTGCCTTACACTTCAGATAACATGCACTTGATCCCTTTCTGTCTAGTTTACTAATTATAATTAAAACTTTCTACATTTATTTATATATATTTTTGCTTGTTGCTCTTATTCTCTTTCATAATCCATTGAACTTATCTAAAAAATATCCTCTTAGAATCTCTAAAGCCTTAAAATAATTACTATTTCTTATCCTAATCCCATTCAAGTTATAATGATATAGTCTACGAAAAGTTACTAACTCAAATTATTAAGGAGTGCGCATTCCTGGAGGATGTCTTTCATAATTCCATCTTATACTTTAAAAAGATATCGGTGGATAACAAGGTTGGTAAAGTGAGTTTAAATAATCCGTTATAATTATGTTTCAACCATTTCGTTAATTGGTTTTTGATAATGCCAAACACAAAGATTTTCTAATGATTTGTATAAATTTAGTTAGTCCTATTAAAAAAAACCCATCTTTATAATAGGCTTTGTAGTACAACCTGAAGGCTATTTTCATGTATTCAAGCACCCAATGCTCTCTAGAAGAATATGAATTATTTGACTATTTAGAGGGTAGCGAACATGTGTATCAACTTTTTGAATGATAGAATTTAATAAAAAAATGCAATGTGTTCTACGTGTCTGACTTTAAATCCACGTTATTTCATTATTGATATCCCACATTTAAAATAAACTAACTATTTTAGAAGAAAATAAATATAAAAGACAAAGCAAAGAGCAACTCATGACTCTGTTTTTGTTCTTATCTTGGTCTTACTACTATTATTTATTTTGGTCCACCATATATATCACTTTATACGCGTGCTTTACGAGATTGCTATATCATGTTCTTATTGAATGAAATATGGAAAGTTAAACGGCAAAAATGCCAAATTCTTTCTCTAGAAAACCATAAATGAATAAAAACATGAAGGATTTGCTTTGTTATGGCAAAATCTTATGTGAAACCAAGTGTTAAACTATTATACGTCCATTCTTAAAGATAATAAAGTTCCCTTGCTAAAGCATATATATAATATAGGCCTTGGATGTAATATAGTGATATAGGCATAGCAAGTAGTTTTAACCTTTAAATGTGCTTGTGGAATTAGGAATCAAATGTTCCAAAGAACTAAACTAAAAAGATAAACAAGGAATCTTGTTAATACTTTGTCCTCTTCAAAGTGAGTGTACACTATGGCCCACACCCTTACATTCAATTTACCCTTTAATTGTCAATTGCTCCAATTTGGAGTCTTGTGTTTATTCTCGTGTGCGCCAGCGATTGTGTCCAAGATCTAGAGAGTGGAAAAATATTATATATCGTTGTGCGTGTACTTAATTTAGCTTTTAGTTCAAGCGAAGGTGACATCTAATCTCTCTCAAAACAATTTTTAACTTGTTTCTATGGTTTGTATCTTAGTTACAGTTGGACATAAAAACGACCCCAGATGAAAGTGACATAAGCTATTTCATCATCATTGATTTGTTGGACTCTAATTCTATTCCGCACATTGAATCTTGATATTATGTTATTAATTGGTGTATAGCAAATCGTATGTCTTAGATGAATTGACCCGAAGGCTTTGAACATCAAATCAGTTAAAACTTAAAATATAACGCGTAAATAAAATTTATAAATTTAAATAAATAAATAAAAAAGGATAACTCCTAAAATCCAAGCTTTAATGAAAGTACAAATCCTAAAAGATTGAAGACATGTAAAAAGTTATTTTCAAAAAAATCTTAGGAAATCATAGAATTTGGCCTGAAAAATGGGATGTTTCACTATGATAATTATAAGCTTTCCAAACTATTTTTCTTTTGTCATTTTTTTCAGATTAGCTCCAGTGATTGTAGGGTTGAACGAGAGTTTAATTAAAAGCCA